AGCCCAGAGCTATGTCCACCACCCCGCAGGGGCCTCCCAAGTGGTCAGGATGGGTGCTCCGTGGCGGGGGAGCGTTTCCTGCCACCTCTGTCAGAGGACCTTCCTGACCCAGGCCAGCCTCTCCCGGCCACTGCCTTCTAGACAAGCCTACTTAGGAAGTTAATTGATAACTAAAGTTCTCGCACATTCTGGTTGAAAGTGCCTCCGCCCCTCTCTAAATTACATTTACATTTTAATAGCAGGTACTTAAGAACGTGGGAGCCTGCAAGGTTTAAAGGATTGTTTTCTTAAGGTACAATCCACAGGTTGGCTCTTTTGAGCTGGGACTCCTCAAGGCAGATCCTGAATGGACCTGATTTTTTCTTTTTCTTCCATCTGATCCAAATCCCTTTCATCTACTTGCTTACTTTTTGGCAACTTTGACATTCACTCAACAAATATTCACTAACACCTATGAGGCACCAGACACTGCTTGACAAGGTCCTGGGCCCACGTTCTAGCTAAGAATCGAAGTTATAAGGACAAGGAGAGAGAACTGAGCATCATGGGAGCACATGTAGGGGGAAGGGGGAGACGTCACTAGACAGGTACCTGGAAGAGATGGTCTGAGAGACAAGTTAACCAGGCAAACGTGGGCGGGTGAAAGGGGGGACAGGGAATTCCTTGAGCTAAGGCCCAGAGGCTGCAGTCCCAGGCACAGGTTAGCGGACACCAGTCGAGTGAGGGTGGGGAGAGCTGCCTCCAGCTGAATCCTTGCAGGGGAAACTGAGGTCCCACGCATGCCCTTGGTCCTATCAGGAACATGCTGGATGTTCCTTTCTGAGGCCGTGGCCATGGCGACAGCCTGCTGTTGATGTGCTGGATGTAGTGCCTCACTCCTAGTATGGGGGGGGGGCCAGGTTGGAAACCCCCACATCCCCACTCCCAGGTGGTCCCAGGTGCATCATAGGTTAATGAGGGCCTATGAATGTATGTACTTTAAAAAAAACACATTTAACACGTTTTTAAAAATGTTTTTATTGATTTTTTGAGAGAGAAAGGGGGAGGTAGAGACAGAAATATGGATGAGACAGAAACATGGATCGGCTGCCTCCTGCATACCCCCTACTGAGGATGGAGCCCGTAACCTGGGCATGTGCCCCAACCGGGAATCAAACCTTGACCTCCTGGTTCATGGGTTGATGCTCAACCACTGAGCCACTCCAGCCAGGCCGTTTAACACTTAAAAAATAAAAGTTAACAACATTAGAATTTAGGGAGATGTCAACTAAAAGTACATTTCAGGTTTCTCTTGAAAAATAGTATGTTACCACTGGTCTCCCAGAATGACAGTGGACTAGCACCAAGGAGGGGTGTGGGGGTACAGACAAGGCTTGAGCTTGCTCTCCCAGTTTAGCACGGCCTCTGTCCTGCCTCTCTCACCCATTGATGTCCTGGCCCACCCTCTCTCCCCTGGAGCTCACTGAACTTTAAAAGGCCCCTCCCTGCTGTTGGTGGTAAATAAAGTCACCTTTGCTTCAACCTCCCCAGCTACACCCCTCTTATCTGATGTGCTCTGGGCAGCTCATCGGGTTTACTGGACAAGGGTTGCATTAAGACCTGCCCTTGTCTATGGGTCTGGAGGTGGGGAGTGGTAGAGCCAGGTGGCAGCTGGGAACAAAATGACTTGGAGCTGATGGGTCCAGAGAACCAGGCTCCCATCAAAGGTGGGGATAGGGCCGGCTGCACATCTAGGGTATACTCGTTTGTATAAGATCCTTATCTAGAGCCCTGGTAGCTTCTTAGGCTGAATGCAAACATGTTTCTTGCCAGTTCTATAAAGAAATGATGTGGAGAGAAAGCCAGAACTCTCCAGAAGTCAGGCTTGTCCTTTTCAACGTTCCTCATTTCTCTCTCTCTCTCTCTTCTGGGAAAGGAGAGCACGTGGGTGTGATTCTACAGGTGGGCGGGAGGGAGGTAAGCAAAGTCGTTACTGGAAAATCCCTTTCCCGCCCACTCTGTGTCTGGATGAGCATGTACCCCAGTTTGGTATTAATCACAAGCGGACCATGGAGCCAGCAGGTCAAAGCCGCTCTGTGGACCAAGATGAGCTGTCTGGCAAGGACACCACCATTTCAGCAAGAATGAGAGCGGTCAGACACGAGTTCATTCATTCATTCAGCCGGTTCTTCTAGTACCTATTATAGGCTACATATGACACTAGGATGGGCTTTGTGACTATGAAGATTCTTTGAAACAAAGGATTGAAAGTCATTTTTCTATGGGAGAGGACACAGACTTGGTTAGATGGCATTAACTCTAGCCATTTTTGGAGGCACTAGTAGGAACTATTACTTTAATAATGGTTTCCTTCCAGTTATCAGAATGCCAGAGTGTCCTTATTCATCTCAGGACCAATTCTACTTAAATCTACAATTCCCATTTATTGAGTAACTTAAATGTGAAAAGCTCTAATTCTAAGTAGTTTATTGATCTAATTTAATCCTCATAACAACAATGTGAGATGGATTCTTTTAAAAACATACATTTTTGTTAATTTCAGAGAAAGGAAGGGAGAGGGAGAGTTGGAAACATCCATGAGAGAGACACATGGATCCACTGCCTAGATCGAGCCGGCAACCCGGGCCTGTGCCCTGACCAGGAAAGGAACCAGCGACCTCCTGGTGCATGGGACAACACTCAACCAACTGACCCACACCAACTGGGCTGGACTCTATTTCTAATCCACTCGTACAAATGGGGAGATGGGGCCTGATTGGTACAGTGACTGGGCCCAGGTTGCACAGCCAGTAGGTAGGTGGTAGAGCTGATGAGAACCTTGCAGGCAGCCTCACACCAGAGCCCTGAGCTCCTCACCTCTTTGCAGCTACCTCCCTGCTGCTTAGAAACTGAAACCTCACCAGGCAGGAGCGTGATGCAAACAAGAGAAGAGGAGTGCTCATTGCCCTTCCCAGCCCCCAAAACTTTTCAGTTCAACTAATTGAAAATGATGATAATTACGATGCTAATTTGCCCTCCAGTGATTGCCGGGATAATGGAGATGATTTAGAATCAAACGCTGAAGAAAGGAATAGAAATCATGTCATCCAACCCTTTAATTTCTGAGACAGGAAAATGGAGGGGCTTGTCCAGACTCACACAGCTGGTTAGGAAGAAGAATCCAGGCTACCACCCATATATTCTCCCTGCCAGCCCAGATGTGCACTAGGAGTGAGGCTCTGCATCCAGCACATCAACAGCAGGCTGTCGCCATGGCCACGGCCCCAGGAAGGAGCACCCAGCATGTTCCTGATAGGACCAAGGGCATAAGTGGGACCTCAGCTTCCCCTGCAAGGATTCAGCTGGAGGCAGCTCTCCCCACCCTCACTCGACTGGTGTCCGCTAACCTGTGCCTGGGACTGCAGCCTCTGGGCCTTAGCTCAAGGAATTCCCTGTCCCCCCTTTCACCCGCCCACGTTTGCCTGGTTAACTTGTCTCTCAGACCATCTCTTCCAGGTACCTGTCCAGTGACGTCTCCCCCTTCCCCCTACACGTGCTCCCATGATGCTCAGTTCTTCTCTCTGTCCTTGTCCTTATAACTTCGATTCTTAGCTAGAACGTGGGCCCAGGACCTTGCCAAGCAGTGTCTGGTGCCTCATAGGTGTTAGTGAATATTTGTTGAGTGAATGTCAAAGTTGCCAAAAAATAAGCAAGTAGATGAAAGGGATTTGGATCAGATGGAAGAAAAAGAAAAAATCAGGTCCATTCAGGAT